TGGTTGGCTTAGATGAGCTCCCCAACCTTGAAGTGACGCTGGCCCACATATAGATGGGTTTTGAATTCCTGCTCTGCTAAACAAATCCCTTCGCAGACATTCGATTTCTTTGTCCACCATAGTAGATGAGGTCTGAGATGTTTCGTAGACTGAATGGCTGTAAATCGCCGAGATGTGCATTGATGAAGACCTGTAAGGGACGTAACTGTAACCTGCCTCTGACTGTCATGTCTTGGGCTGATGTGAGGAGACCTAGGAGGCTCTGCCATTGTCGAAGTGGTAACGGAGAGAGTAGAGCTGGTGGAATGGTCTGTTGGATCTTGATCCAACGGTCTTCTGGTACGACGATACGGTTGAGATTTGTGATAAATCGAATGCCTAGGAACTGTAGGTCTTGTGACGGTACTAGGTCCGACTTGAGTAAGTTTACTAACCATCCTAGCTGTGTTAGTAGCTTTATGATGTAGTTTAACTGTAGTTTGAGATGCTGTGGATCTTGATCTACTTGTATCCCGGCCGTCGAGGTAAAACGCGACTGGCGAGCCCTTTGATGATGAAGATAGGTGATAATCGGTTTCGCTATCCTCGCGGAAAAGCCAGGGGCTGATGATATTCAATGGGAGCACTTTCCACTGGTAATGTTGCCCGCCTAAAGTAAACCGTAGGTATTTCCTGGCTTTGGAGTGTATCGGGATGTGCAGGTAAGCGTCCTGTAGATCGATACTGCCCATGTAGTCCATGGGGCGTATCAACTGCCGTAACTGAGGTAAATGTATCATGCGGAACTTCGGAGGTTTGCGTAGATAGTTCTTGTTGAAAAAGCTCATGTTGTAGATGAGTCTGTATTTCTCCTTGGAGTTTTTCTTGGGAACTAGGAAAACTGGGGAGTAGAAACCTGGTTCTATGTTGTCTTGGTCTAGTACTTCTATGGCCTGCTTTATTAGGAGTGATGTAACAGCCTCTCTTAACTTCGGTAGTTGTTGAGCCTGTAAGTCGAACTTGTGAGGGTTGACTGTCAGCGGAGGCTTGGCCTTTAGTGGGATACGGAATCCGTGACGAAGAATGTAGAATGTTGGAGACATAAGGGTCTTGTAACATTCCCCAGTTTTCCCAGTATAGTTGGAGGCGTCCACCCACTTGAGATGGTTGTACTGGAACGGCTGGGGGTGGAAGACTCCAGTCGTTCCGAACCTGTCTTTCAGCGCTTATAGTTGCGGAAACCTCTGGGTGTCCTGCCTCTTCCTGATCCTCCTCTATAGTTGCCGAATGGGCTTACAAAAAGAATCTTTTCCTCTAGAGCTGGCTATCTTCCTGTCTCGCGGCTCTCTGTAGGCCCGCGTGAATTTAGATCTTCCTGAGTATCTTTGTGAAGTCTGTCGAATGACGCTGGCTAGTGTGTCCATCGATTTAATCATAAGGACTTCTCTGGAATCCTTAGTGACTTCCTTGGAAACTTTGTCTATTTCTCCGCTAAAGATGGATGTTGAAGACCACGGGCTGTATACAGTGGGCTGTAAAGTTCTCACCCCAGTTGCAGGAAGCGAGGAGGCCTTGACGACGAAGCTAAGGTCAGTGCTGCTGAAATAGATGTAAGATGATCTGTTAGGAACTGCTGGTCTTTCTTTGCATAAGTAAGGCAGAATAAATCATTCTATCATCCTCAGAAGTCGATCAACCTAAATCTGGTGATAAGAGTCTCATTGATCGCTCTAGATCTATTTAAACCAAAAACATACGCCTCGGCCATGGTTTCTATCTGACTAACTTACATCATCATCAATCTTGTAATTTTGTACTTGACGCCGCTGATCAACTTATAGTTCTCATCGATGTCTTGAGCTTTGAAGAAGGGGTCCATGTTATGCGTGGAGAACTTCTTGGCATGAAAGTTTGGTAGATGTGGTGTCTGAACTTTCGTGGGCTTTGTGGAATGCTGCATCTAGATTCTGTGGGACTGCTGCAATCGGGTCGATCGGGTGGTAGTGTGATAGCATCTGCATCGCCTTCTTTCATCAGATATGTCTGCTTCACATTGCCATTTTTAGATGGTGATGAGAGATCTAGGTTATTGACCATCCAATACCGTGATCTCAGCATCGGAGAAAATAACTCCTCCATCATCCTCTATACCATCATCATTGATGAGAGGTTGGTGCTGCTCTGACTGCGCGCGGCTTCTGTCTCTACGTCCGGCGATGCTTGTGCAGCTCTGTATGGTGACCTGTAAGGTGATCTACGCGGTGATGAACGAGGAGGAGATCGCCTAGGTGATCTACGCCTATGGGTTGATCTTCTCGGTGACCTGTGAGGAGAACGCTGATAGCTTCGCTAAGCTCTTGTGTAGTCCCTCGATGTCCTTCTAGATGATGATGATCTGATTCAGCTGCCCTTCGCTAATGCCTTCGAAGCTTCCTCTGCGTCCCGTCCGGGAATTACGATAAGACCTTCGCCGAAGGCTTTCGTGATGTCTGATGGTCCGAGTCCACATCTTGGGATGAAAGTGACGAGGGTGATGATCTATCCCGCCGCTGAAGGCCTTCGCTAAGGCTGTACATCTAGGTCCTTCGTGGAGGTGGTCCGCGCCTTCCTTCGCCGGTGACATCGCCCTGGCTGCTACGCTGACGGGGTGCCTCTGGGGTGCTGTTCACGCTTGGAGCCTTCGGGCTCGGTCCTTGCTTCTGCAGTCTATATCGGTCTTCCATCATCGCCATAATTTGCTGCATCAGGTCATCAGGGATGGTCTGGCGACGATGTCGCCTGAGCCTTCTCTGCGTGTTAATGATGGGGTCCACAGCAATAACGCCTGACATCAGTGTAGAGGCATCAGGCTGCATGGAGATCTCTGCTGAAGTCACTGTCGCTGACACCGGGTCGCTTCTTGTGCCGTATGTCGGGATGATAATCGGCTGGTCATCGTAGAGGCCCATTTCTTCGGCTGGAACGATCTCGGCTGAGAAAGTTCTCGCTGTCTTCGTGACTTTCCTTTGATGTCGACGCTGCCCTGGGGTACGGTCTGCGCTGAGAAGACGCCGAGGCCCTCTTGGACTTTAGCTGCGATGACGGGATGTCTGGGGAGGCCGGTCGCTTCTTAGAGGTGACGGATCAAGCCCCCACGCCCCTCTTCCGATGGGGTCTCTAGCAGAACACCAGACGGTAGGGGGTCGATCGCCAGCAGCTGACTAGATGGAGTATCTGGAGTATCAGCCATATTTAGCCCTTTGTTTGCGTGGACTCTATCTGCAGCACGCCTTAAGACGCAAAGATAATATTTATTAAATGCAGAATTAGATAAATTAATGCAATAACTGCAACGTGAATCAAACGCACACGGCGTGAGAACAACTAGGGCATATTACATGCGATCTGAGGCAGAAAAACGTAATCTACAAATAGTACAGATTTTCATCAACGTAATACTAGCTGAACAATCACTTAATACACGGAATAAACAGTAGAAATAATGATAAATAATCAATACAAATTACTGAAGGATACTAGCTATACCTCTATAGTAAACTATAAGAGGTAATAAACTAAGAAATATCAAAGGATATGTTGTGTAAGGAGACACAGGCGCTCTTGCATCCTGCTCACTGGGCGAAGAAGGAGAGAGTGAAGCACGAGGTATAAGGTGGCAACACCTTTCCCGCCAGAGGGATTAAAGGGGAGCAACTCGTGGTGAGTACTAATTAGTGATTTTACATTGAAGGGAGCTTCAATTAAGGAGATACAAGTGTTTCCACTATGTTCGCAAGAAGAAGAAGACAAGCAAAAGAGCATGAGTCAGGATAAGGAAAAATAAATAGCATTGGTCCCAAAAGAGGATACTCAAGTCATATCTTTCCATGTAATCTCTGTTCTAATACGGCCATATTTCCCGGTACTCATAAAATCCCCTGGCAGAAAAAAAATCGCAACACGAATTACCTCCCTTCTTTCTATCCAATCACAACACGTGTTACATCGACTTAGATCCAATATAGCGGCCGCCATGGAGTTAGTTGATTAATATGCGAAGGATAGATTCGGTATTTCATGTTTTAACTGAAAATCAGAAACTAGCAATAGAAAGTGGGGACACAAATATCCCTCCTCTGTCGATGACTTACGTGACACACAAGACATTTAATGGCTAGCTTGTCTGTTGCCAACAAGGGCGATGGCGATCCGCCTCTACATGACTGATTTCTGTCTGATCAATGATGATGACCACGTCGTCATATGAGCGAAATATTCTCAAGCACGACGTTAAACCCAATTTCACCTCAACTCACCCACCAATGATGTGTTTAGAATGATAACAATAAATAATGATGACAATAATAATAAAGGGCATACTCAAAATACAACTAAATATGCACCCTAAAGCATGCTTTGGGGGTACATTATTACCCTGGTCTGTGTGCGCTTGATTTTCAGTTCTAGCAGGTACCCAGCCCCAGATGCCTGTGAGGTGCTAGAAGGTTAACAGTCACATTACAATCTCATCCCGCCAAGTACCCATTCACTGCTGGATGAACTTGACTCAGGAGACACCAAATGTGATACACATACATGAATGTAGTGAAGGACCAACAACTAGAAACTCTCAGGATTCAAGCTGTTGAATATGGTCTCCTATCAAACTACTCTCCACAACCAACATGTCTTAACTTCACCTATTTGTTCTGTACAAAGAGTGAGTGAGTTTAGGTCTATGCCGATTTTAGCAATATTCCAGCAATATCATGGCAGGGGACACCAGAAATGGGCTTCACATATTGTACCTATATGAGGAATCGAACCTGGGTCTTTGGCATGACGAGTGAACGCTTTGACCACAAGGCTACCCCACTGCCCTTATGTACAAAGAACATGTGTTTAGTAAAAATGGTAATAATACTCAAATACTTTAGAGCTAACATGGACATATCTATGAACATATACATTAAATGAAAAAGAAATGTGACCTTTACACAGAAGCCTGTAAAACTCTGTTTCTACTGGACACGACCACTCACCAACAAAGGCTGGCATAGCGACACTCTGTCCGTAGTTGTTTCTCATGATGGCGTGTACCATCTCCTGGATGAAGATATCTGAGAAGCCCTGCTCCTTCATCAGATCCATGATGGTAGTGTGAGTGTATCGCACAAACTCCGGATCCATCGCCTGCAGCATATCCTCCACTGTTGTAAATGCTATCCCCTCATTCTGGACCTTGTAGATTCTGCACAGAGGGAGGGTGAGTGAGAAGAAACATTAGAACAACTTTAGTTATTACCTGTGTGGTTTAATTTGCAAATGAAGACAGAGAGAAGGAGTTCACACCAGTGATAGGCGAAAGGAAATCAAAATCAGTGAGTTGAGTTTTATGCCACACTCAACAATATTCCAGCTACATTGACGGCAGGCTGTAAATAATCGAGTCTGGACCAGACAAGCCAGTGATCAACATCATGAGCATCGTTCTATGTAATTGGGATATGATGATGTGTTAAACAAGTCAGCGATCCCATTACTTGCCTCTTACAACAAGCATGGGTTACTGAAGATCAATTATAACCCGGATCTTCATGGGTTAAATCAAAATCATCATTATTGAAAATGAATATTTGCTTTAAAAATGAATGGCTAACAAAAACTAAAATCATAAAATACAAAAGAGTCATTCTATAACTTCAAACTTTAAGACACATGACAAGTGAAAAGTATTTACCTGTCACTCTTAAAGTCAGAATGTTTAGTTTTTAAACAAATCTTCCCAGAAGACACTGTGATTCCAGTGACGCAAAACACAGCATCATGTTTTATAATCATTCAGTTTTACATATTATAAAATAACAAACCTAGAAAGAAATAATCCCTTCATACCAAACCTAATTTTCAGATTGCATCTATTTCTGGTCCTGAGTTTGCCAAAATATAGGATCTGTCACTCACTGTCAAACACTTTAGCTCCCAATACATAGAGATTATTACACAAGCAAGTGTGTCATACGACTTATATGAAACAAGTGTGAAATTTGGTATTGCCTGAGCGAGAGTAAATGAAGTAAACCATAGTAAGCAAGTGTGAAAGCCCTCTTTATTGACCTCATGTTCAATTGTTTAATGACCTCACAGACAACGAAATACAGAAACAATGGTTGCAAGGCAAAAGTGATATGTGCACATATGTATGATATATATGACACTGGTTATGTTTCACCATATGGGTAATAAATCGCAATATGTTTCACAATATGGACACCTGTATCACAATACAATTTCTACACAGCCCTATGAGAAACACAATCACTGTGAATCAGGAAATGAACCCATGATCATAGGTTTCTGGTGAGTGCAAGGGACACAACCCTGCACAGCAAATAGTTACGCCTTTGACGATCAGTCCACCCGAGTCCCCCAAATCAACAAAATTTGTAATCCATATGTCATACCTTGTAAAGTTTTTCAGCAGTGAGTCTTGAACCCAGTTCTGAATTTTCATAATGTCATAGCCATAACGCCACACCAACTTCGCCATGGTAACCGCTGTCCATGTGCTAGTTTCAACTTTCATCCCATCAGATCCAAAAAAATCCAATTCTTTCATCCGTTGCTTCATTCCTTTGAAGACCTAACAAACACAAGCATTATTTGAATAAATATACAAGCACAAAATACATTTTGATAAGTGCAAAGGTTTATTCTATGACAATAGCAGATAACTTAAAAGGTTTTCATATATATCAATAGTACTAACATGGACAAGGAGTGAGTGAGTGAGTGAGTGAGTTTAGTTTTACGCCGCACTCAGCAATATTCCAGCCATATGGCAGCGGTCTGTAAAGAATCGAGTCTGGACCAGACAATCCAGTGATACATGGATAAGGATAAACTAGTGTTGTGAGTGAGGAGTATGTATTCATAGAACAGTTATTCTAATTGTACTGAAAAGAGTTATCTAAACAACTTTGGGTATTTTGATAGTACAATATTATGACAGCATTAGACATGGCCACTAATCTGTCAACCCTGACGCTGGTGAAATTCAGGAGGTCAGGATTTTAATGCTCCAAACATCTCTATTGAAGGAAGTAAATGTTATAGAACAATAAGTCCAAAGTGAACAGAAATCAACAATCAATGAATGAGTTGTGTGGAAAGCAGCTTTAACAGAATTCCACTTATATCACAGCGTGTCATCTTAATATGGGTGGAAAGCCTGAAGAGATGCTCAGTGAAAACTATGAGCACAGATATGAAGCTAACAAACCTAGAAACTTTAAGGGGGTGAAGTTGTATTCCAACCAACGATCTCCATGCCTTCACATCCAACTGTGAGGCCTAAGATGACAGGTCCTGTCATGACCCATTTGTATGGAAATGCTGGGTAGTTTTGTATGCAAACTTTGTGCACATTTTACTTATGTGGTGTCTTGGAGTACAAACCTGACAAATAACATACAAACTTCTATCTTAGTGGGAAATCTTACTCTAAGCGTTTTTTCACTGGTCAGCGATAATCTTTTTGTCCATTTGTACTTATGATGCTACGACATAGCTAAACTATTGGGCAGTTTAGCAAGGATTACAGGACTATCACCAATTCCTATTGCTGATTAGTAGGACTGTATTCCTTTTTTTATGTATGTACATGTTGTACTTACCAAACATGTTTGTAAAATTGACCATGTAGGTATTGAGGGGGTGTATGACAGCTGCACCTGCCTCATACTCAAAACCATCAATGTCGATTGATCTTGCTCGTCCACCAACCCTCTCCTGCTCAAAAATGTCGATAACAGCATCTTTTCCAAAGAGCTGGCGTAGGTAATATGCTGTGGTTGTTCCCCCTATACCTGCTCCTATGATACCTGAAAGAAATATATGTACAAACATGATTCACTCATGTCTCTTACAACATTAAAATGCAACCAGTTTATTAGTTAAGTATGCTATTCATAGATGTCATAGAAAGGGACTCATTCCAGACAAAAATGCATAAAATGAGAAAATATTTCGTATTTTGACACAAACAAATATATTCATTTGTCAACTAATGCAGAAGACGTTTGTATATTTTTCAGTTTCAGTTTAACTTAGTTTAAGCTGCATTTGCTATTTAGAAATAGTGAAGTTTAAAGTGTTGATGTATTTTCATCTTTAAACCAGTAAACGAGGACCTATTAACTGAACATTGAATAACCCGCTGGACAAAATACCTGGAATATTGAACTCAAGGGCTGGCTATCGATATAGATCATTCAGATCAATAATCGATTGCTAAATATTGATCAATTATCAATATCAATCAATATCGGAGAAGTAACTTTGAGCAGAATTGCCAAAGAAAGTCCTAAAGAAATGAATATACAGCATTTCAAACCACTGCTGAGTGGTGAAATGTTTATGCATGGATTACTAACAAAACAGCATCCTGAACACAATTTAGAAGCAGACCATGAATAAAAAGCTAACTTTGTGTATTGTGTGAGTCAATAATTTTTTGCTATAAAGTTCTATCACAAACGTTCATGTATGATATTATCAATGACACTTTTTTCATATCAGTAATCATTAATATTTTTTCCTATCGATGATATTTCCAATTACCAAACTTTTAAGCCAGCCCTACTGAATACATGCTACTCAGTAATACGTATACACTGAGACATGTCTGCTATACACATATTATTTATAAATATTCCTACTATACAATGCCTGTATTTGAGAAAAATATCATTAAAAAGACATTTATATAAATTAACATTGTACATGTTATATGTACTGGTTAACCTGATAATAGTCTGTCTCACAGTCCCTGAGCCATATTATTTTCCCTATTGCCTAGCCCTCCCTGCAGTGTTAAAGCCCTAAATGAAGCAAGCCTAGATTTCCCCAGGTTCAGGGATCTCTGGTCTGCCTTGTGCTCCTTTTCAATTTAAATGGGTTTATTTGTTACAATCAAAATTATATATTCAGAGACTAAGCGTTAGTCTAACCTGATAAGTGCAACACTCAGAAACATTTCAGCTTTATCACAGATAAAGGTAGCCAGTAGATAATCAAGTCTGTGATAGCACAACCAACATACTATGCTGCTGGGATATGCTGACACACAATCAATCATGTCAAGGAGTCTGACTACCCAATACCAGTATAGCCAGCTCCTTTGACGAGCATCAGCTATTGGGGACCTTTGAAAAGTAAACCTGCAATACAAGTCAGTCCTGCTTGAACTAGTTTCTATTTCTTCAAAAGCATTTACCATGGTCAGATGGTGAACAGCATTGTCACATTACAAACACACACTTAAAGTTTTCTGTTACTATGATGACAATACAGTTGAGGGAAAGCTGGACAAGCAAGTTATATCTAAATAGTAAAAACGTTAACCATGTGAGCTACTGCATTTAGTTAGTGTTTGTTTATGTAGTGTTCAGCACCCAGCTGTTTACCTTCATATTCATGTGTGGTAGCCACATGATTTCCACATCACAACTTGAGAAAGATTGAACAGATTTACTTCAAATTACATTGGGTTACTTCATTGAAAGAAGTGACATTGTTGACCCTGTCATTCTCACAACTAATGCTTATGAGTAATATGACTGCTGTTGGCCAAGGTAAGGTAACCTTCTCAAATCCTTACACAACTAACCCTAAGCACTGTGCAGAACCACAACCTCCGTGGGTCAAGAGTATCTTTATCAGCCACAAGCTGGTGGGAATAGTTGCAACCGGTGAACTGCAGTCTTGATAAAGTTTTATTTAATTTCATGAAAAAGCACACACAAAAATCATACTTCATCGTCAACTTAAAACATAAAACACGTTTATACCGGATTTAGATGAAAACACAATGATCGAGTTTCACTTATTACTTTGTCTTGGCCTAGACTGGAAATGGGCACTTGGAGGACTGAACCTCAAAAAATGAGAAATGACTTGATGTCAAGATCTACACCACGAAAATGCCCCTCGAAAACAGGTGACGGCAGGATAAGTGATCGCAACTTACCTTTCGAACAACAATATTTTTCGATTAACTCATGCAAATATTCATTGTTCGACACTTATGTCATTAAGACAGAAACAAAGATACTTTACCTATACGAGGAAGCTCTTCTGCATCCTCTTGTGATTCTGTCAAGGAGAATAATCCTGTAATTAGGACAACATATGCAACAAACTTCCACATGGACGCCATTTTACCATAATGTAAAGTTGTTGCCGGGTTTCTTATTTCGTAAAAGCATTTGGTGTTTTTTATCTTTATTCATAAGAAGGGATCATAGAAAATATTATAAATCACTTTTTGTCATATTCGTGTCATGCTGTATCGTCATTAAAATTGCAGAGCAAAACAAATTCGTAATACGTCAACAGGAATCTTAGCTTTACACAATATTTTTCAAAATGGCTGCGCCCATAAGGTGCATGAGCGCAATGTTTCATCACATTCATCTCCGAAATGTGTGCCATAAATGTTGGAGATACCTACTCGGTGGAAATAAGTTATTGAAGTCTTACGCGCTGAGGGGATCTTTTATGATTTCTGCCTCGGTCCTTGCAGCACAGATCTCTGAAACAAAACTAACTGTAGGTGGTAACATTCATAGGCCCCCACTGCGGGTCAGAAAATCGATAAACTAGGCCCCGGTTTAGTATCCACACCCCCTTCTATATATAAATTTTCTGACCCGCAGTGGGGGCCTATGGTAACATTGGCAATTTGGGGGATGTTCCTATTACAGTATTAGTGCATACCAGCTAACAAAATATAGAACATAAAATAAACAAAACCAAAATAAACATGATAAAGCTAAAATGAAATGTAAAGAAAAGTTATAATTCTTTCAGTTTTACCAAAATGATATGATGAAAATGACAGGTACATGCTTCTCGGGAAGAGAGCGAAGAGAGGTGGTGATGGATATATGTCTGATGGGACTGGTGGTGTAGCCTCATGGTTAATTCATTTACTCGTCGTACTCAGAGCCATAGTTTAATTCTCCACGTGTGTGGATCCCATTCCTAGTGTCACGCACTGTGATGTTGCTGAAGAATTGCTAAAGCAAAGTAAAATCATACTCAGTCATGTGTGTCATGACATGTCGCCTGATGCAACTGCGATCTTATGGTGAACATTATGAGCATCGATTTACATACCTACTGTAAAGGGAGACATCATGGACACAGTATACAAAATAGCTATAAAAGGAGAGGAGGAGGGAAGGCTGATGATATTTATAGAGAAGCATGTACCAAGCTATAAATTATAAACAGTCTCTTACATCATATATATTTTGTATATGGAGCAATTGATTGGTTCTACTTAAATAGTAACCCTGGTAATAGGCCACTGACACTGTAGGGATTGCTTCCATCAATACAATCTTTAGTATTGGCAAGATTGATGATAGTGACCCGCTCCGTGGTGTAGTGAGCGTCCGCCCGGAGAGCGGAAGGTCAAGGGGTCGATCCCCGGCCGCGTCATATCAAAAGATGTTAAAATATGGTACTTGTTGGTTCCTGCCTCACGGCATAAATAGGAACAACAAGGACTGGCCTGCTCGGAGTCAGTATAATATGTCTGAGAGGGGTATTCACGCCAACCTGCGGCATGGTATCTCAGCGGGCTAGCACTTTTAAACCAGCTTAAGTCAGGGCTAGTACAAGCAGCCACACATGCACGTCGTCATATGAGCGTATGATGATAGTAAGGGCCTTTCAGGATTGAAAGATTTACCACTGAATAATTTGTTAGTCAAATTCATTATCATGATAAACTTGTTAAAAATTGAAACTTACCAGTGCCTGTAGTATCATTGTTGATAGTGTGGAGATCAACTTTTTAATTTTTTTCAACTAATTTTGAGCATGTGTAACAATTGTCACACTGAAAGAATTGAAGAAGTTACAATCTTGTCTCAATTATCAATGTTCCTATTTTGCAGTTAATCTGTAATAATCAAGGGTTGTGTCTTTTCATTATCATCAGCCCCCTGATCCGACTACCTTGACACACTCTTACCTCATCAAGAATGCATCAACGGTTGCCATGGATGCATCTTCAACTGTGTTGTCTCAAGTTGTTGCGAGCATCATCCAAACAGAGAAGGAATACAAACAGGTAGTGTCCGTGTGAAACCAGAAGAGTAGCAGTGATCAGACATTGTGAAGAAAATCAGCTGAGAGGTTGACTGGTTATTCTGAGATGTGTTTGTACAGTTGTGTATGAGCTGACGAGTAGGGTGTTTATATTATGGTATGGAGCTATGTGTGTCAGCTGTGTTTTTATTTTCAGATAAATAGTTCCGTGTGAACAGAGAAGCACTTGTGTAGAGTGAGATGGGTGTTTATGTTGAGATGTATGCTTGTGTAAGAGCTGCAAGTGTGTTGACAGATTATAATAATAATGATAATAAGGCCCCTTATATAGCACTGAACTCCACGCCACACAAGCATGCTCTAAGCACATACAACATAACAAGACATTATTACTTGATGAAAACAAACTATAATCTCATTAATTCTAACAGACGGATAACCCAAGTTGCCTGTGAGGCTTAAGAAGGTTAATAGTCATATGCCTTATGCCACCGAGAGTGTACAATTGTGTACGAGCTGCAAGTCTGTTGGCACATTATGGAGGAGCGGAGAGTTCATTTTGGAGTAATCTGCCTTTCTGTTGGCAGACTTTGGACGAGCTGAGCGAGTTGCTGGAGTTTCAGCTCCAAGTTATGGGGCATGGAAGCCCACAGGAGCAGCAAGTGTGGGATGAAATCATTGCCACGAGAGACAGACTGGCTGCCATTAAACAAATACAGCAGGTACTTTCATGTCTGTTTTCCTTCAAGTTTTCAGTGGGGTGCTGGGGTAGCCCAGCAGTTAAATCATTCGCTCATCACGCTGAAGGCCCAGGTTCAATTCCCCACATAGGTACAATGTGTGACATAGGGCTGCAAAGATTAGGTCAGTTCGATTCATCAAAAATCGAATCTGACACCTTAGTTTTGATTTTCAATAACCATTATCACTATTTCAATTCAATATTTGAATCGAATTGAAAATGATCGAATCGAGGGTCCAATAACGAAAATTGAATTGAATCGAGGTCTGGGTGAATCGTTGCAGCCCTAGTGTGAAGCCCATTTCTGGTGTCCCCCGCCGTGATATTGCTGGAATATTGCTAAAAGCAGCGTAAAAACTAAACTCACTCAAGTTTTCAGTGATTTTACAAATTTCCTGTAGCATATTCATATAAGATATGATATCTTCATATATGATATATTCCTTGTAGTTTTAAATTAATATTGTTCCTCAGGGATCTGGCTATATATGCTGATATGCAACATCAACCTGATCTCACTTAATACAAATCTGTTGTTGCATGTGACATTAGTGACAAAGCAGTTATCACGTAGCGCCCTTCCCCGTGTGTCTGCTCTAGTTGTTATTTGGAAATGAGCTGTAATGAAGATAAGTGACAATGTATGAACGTAACCATGGCAACAGTCATGCTTTCATGCAACAGCTGTTCACTTTTACTAATCAGTCAGAATGCTGTTATTGGTATTGGCAAACAATTGCTATTTATGGTACCAGTATCTAACATCTACAAGCACTGCTTAATAAATGTATATATTAACTTATGAGGATGGATGAAATCACAAACATGAAGTTTGACGGTAAAAACAATTGAAAGTTTCTCTTTTTGTTTTTAGGTTAAGTCGTTTGTGAACTTGTTATAACTTATTTTCAATAACAGAGGGACTTTACTTTCCTGCAAAATGTAAACCAAAAATCTTTGGATATGTTACTATTACTCTGTGCTGAGTTTTATTTGTAATAGTTCTGGGCAAAGTATGTGGGCACAAGGGGGTATTGGGTAATTGTACAGGAAATTCAAGGATGGTTCTGTATTCAGTGCAGTGGCTACAAAACATTTTTTGGAGAGCAGGTAACTTGGTGAATGGATGTCCTAGTGCAAGCATGAGTGAGTAAGTATGGTTTTACGATGTTTTTTTTAAACAATAGTATGGTGAGGGGACACATTGTACCCATGTGGGGAATTGAACTCAGGTCTTCAGCGTGAGGGCGGTGGGGTAGTCTAGTGGTTAAAGTGTTCGTTCATCAGCCTGAAGACCCGGGAAGAGACTTTGCTTGAAATGAGCCCATACACGAAGCAATGAATTGGTACCTGGTAGAATGGCATAATGTCAAACACCAACACAGTTGGCTGCTGATTGGATTTCAGTGGTACCCATGAAGATCTGGGCTAGAACTGGTCTCCAGTAACATGCTTGTCGTACGAGGCGGCTAACAGGATCGGGTGGTCAGGCTCACTGACTTGGTTGATGTAGATTGATGCTCATGATGTTGATCACTGGATTGTCTTGTCCAGACTCGATTATTTACAGACTGCCACCATATACTGAATTATTGCCGAGTTAAATAACCAAACCAAAAGAGTGGCAGAGTAGGTTTGCAGTGCTACGTGGTTGTTTATCAGCTCACCTGGTTCACTGTTATTCATGTCATTATGCCCCCAAACTGTATTGTAGCTCATGCAATCAGCTGTTAGTTTTCCTGGCTTACCTATCTGCACACTGCTATGATATGTCAGTTTAATTACTGACTGTGGTATAAAACAACATTTACACCCTAGGTTGATTGTTTCAGGACCTGGAAAGTCTGTACTCCAGTGTTGAGAAGCTGATGGATGCCTCTGGGGAGGTGTCTTTCTTTGCAGGTGAGAGCTACAGCATTCTCTTCTTGTCATATCTTCCTACGAACCTCTGTTCTAATATGGCCCATTCATGGTGCGAGTGGTAAGGATTCGTGATTGCTTGCAATCAGATTTAGTTGTGCAATCAGTGATGTTGTTTCAAAAGTGATCATTCGCAAGGCCTCGGTAATTTCCGTATGCTTCGGGAAAACTAGAACCTCTTCCCATGCGCGATGCGCAAATGTTTCTTCTAGAGAGAACTCAGTCATGTAATGGCGAATCAATGGCGTCTCCATCGCCCTCGTTGACAACGGACAAGCTGGCCATTAAATGTCTTATGTGTCACATCAACACAAATCCCCGGCTGAGGAGGGATATTTGTGGCCCCACATTTGCTGTGAACAGAATACTACTTCTGATTGGATAGAAACAAGGCAGACAATTTGTGTTGTGATGTTTTGCCGCTACGGGATTTTACAAGAACCGGGAAATATTGCCGTATTAGAACAGAGGTTTGTAGGAAGATATGACAAGTAACCTCTGTGGGAAGAGAATGGAGCTACAGATGTGTGATTAGTATCCACAGGTGTCCTCCACCTCATTCGAACAGATGTTGCTGAACAGATAACCATTTCAATTAAAAATGTGGACAGCTGGAGTTGTATTTGTGTTCACTTGGATGTTTCTGTTCTGATAGCTTTAGGCAAAGGAAAACAACAAACTTCTCTGTGCAGAGTTATGTCCCTTAGTCGTACCAGGATACACAATTACATTGCTTGCACATTGTTAAAAAGTACAAAACCAATCTGAATGATTTCTGATTCAGGTGCACAGTATGCTACTACATGTACGGGAGAGCGTTTGTACAGCGCCAAGTCTCACATCAACGAGGTCAAGGCTGTATCTAAACAAGCTGAAGAATCGCTTAATCGCCTGGAAGTGAAAGTAATTGAGGAGACGTCCAAGCAGGAGGAGGAGAAGAAGAAAAGGAATGCCGCTGATGAAGAAGAAGCATCCCAGTTCATTGACTTAGACCTTGAGAATCAGAGCGATGAGGATGAATCCTCGCAAAGCTCGGCCTCATAACATCTGGTGTCAAAGGAGGGGGGCTGAGGGTGAGGGTCTGTATAAGGAGACCAATGAGGATAGGATGGTTACAAAGTGTGATATGGTTGATCAGTGAAACCCAAAACAAAGACTGTTGCTGATGCTCTATCTCCCAGTGCCTGTCTGTCTGACCAAAACAGGATTATTTACAGACATTATGTAGCTGAGGTACATGATATTGCTGGTGGAAATGACCCTTCAGTCTCTTTTACAGTGGTATTTACAATTTAAAAAACATGTCAGATGAAAGGTAAGTGAATTCATTCACCATCAGAGGTCACAACCAAGCTCAAATGTAGAAGTCTGATACAGTTCCTAGTGTGAGCGAGTAAGTTTGGTTTTCGGCCACTTTTAGCAGTAATCCAGCAATATCATGGTAGGTGACACCAGAAATGGTCTTCACGCTGTGTACAGTATCTATGTGGGGAATCAAACCTAGGCCTTCAGCATGACAAGCACATACTTTAACCACTAGGCTACACCACTGCCTCTGTACAACCGGAGCTATGTTGAAGGTCATCTGCCTTGATATGGTTGTTTATACTGACTCAAGGAGTATTAGTTGCAGAGAATTGTGCCCCATTGCTTGAAAGGATCTGATCAACTTTCACCATGTGAAATCAATGAGCAGGGTTGTGTGTCAACAAACCAAGAAAATCGGGGATTGAAACCCACATTCCTGGCATGCCCAAGGGAGGCAATTCTGCAAAGAAAACTGTGGTAGCTGAAAATGACCTGGGTGCCGTTGACCACAATGAAATGAGAGCTTGTGTATTTGGTGTCAAACTCTATTGATTTATATTGATATGTTAATAAACAACAGCAATAATGAATATTGTAACAGTTTTATTCATAAAAAGAATGTAAAGTCTTAATAAGGTAATGAAAATATCTTTGACTCTGCACTCATGAATTTGCTTTCACACTAATGACAAATTGCACTCCATGGATTTCATATTCCTATATATGCAGAATTCCATATCAAATGAAACCTTATACATGGCTGCTTTGTAAATAAGCAACTTTAAACAAGCAGAATACATAAATAGTAGGGTTACTATTTTGGCATAAAGTATTAATGCCAGAAAATATTATATATATTTGTACTTAATAAATGTTTTTAACAGATTTAGTGCCCTGTTTCATGAAATTTTGTCCCTTCTTTCAAAAGAGAAGTAAAAATTATATTTCGATTACCTTTTTAATTCCTTTGTTTCAGCTTATCGTTCTCAACTGCAGATTTAATATATTTGTGAACATGGATGGCACATGATACAGAATGAGACTAAACAATCAGTTATAAAGAAGAGGCACTTGATACACTCCCAGTGCAGATTAGTAACAGTCTCAAAATGGCTTTCAAATATTAATAGATAGAAAAACGAAATACCACTTGATGATTCTTCGGGAAATGACTTTTGGAAAATCAATATGGTAACTGAAGGTTAGAAAAGCATACAAGTGTACCGACGCCTGCAGTGCCAAAAAAACATAAGTGAATTGTGTTCTATACCAGTTTTGACAGTATTTCTATGATATTTAAGTAGTCTGCTTAATGTGAGAAGAACAAAGTGATACCGAAGTGATACCAGTCTTGAATGTTTACTACTGCTAAGTAACAAGCCAAGGATAATAAACAGGGTGAATCTGGGATTCAAACCATGGGCTTAAGATCCTGACACATCTAAGCGATGCAACTCTGCATAACAAATTGCGGCAGACACAACTGGGTTGACATACCGCCCATGAAGTATGAACATATTTTAGTATATTCTGTGTAAGATCCTGACACACCTAAGGGATGCAACTCTGCATATCAAATTGCTGCATATCATACTGCCCATGAAGTATGAACATATTTGAGTATATTCTGTTCACATGTGTACCGACCATGGTGCTGGTGAAAGAAGGTGGTAGAAAGTCTAGCTCTCTCAAACCAATAACACATCAACATTCAATATGGTACAGGTCCAATATTTCCTCGTGAGTCACTTTGATCCGTTTTGGGAACAGTTTGGGCTCAATACATTTGTTTTTCGCTCTGCAGTTTTGATCAGTCAGCACAACAACATTCATCTAAAAACAGTTCCATAAATAACAGCACTAACAAAGTAGAAAGTAGTTCAACAGGTAACATGGTACTTCTGTATGGTACACAGTGAGTCAACATATGGCTTAACTAGTTACACACATAGTAATGGCATTCCAGATAAAGTCTACGTAGCATACAGAACCAACCATTTCATATTCATATGGTGTGTGGGTTTGTCTGGGATGGTTTTTTTCCAAGGAAATAATGGAGGAAAATTGCCTCAGTTTATAATAATTTTCCATTCAAAATCTTTTCTAAAAAAAAATAAAAGCTGGTAAAGATTAAAAATGATTATTTTTAGATCCTACTTTCAAAAAAACACATTCACATAAATCCCATTTCCTTACCCCATAATAATATGAAATGTCTGATGACTCCTAAATACATGTAATGGTATAGCACTAAAACTCCAGACAAACTACGGCAAGATTTATCAGCCACGTGTGTCAATAGTCTGACAGAACTAGTAACCGAAGTAAATCATCCTTGCTTGGGTTTGGTTCAGCAATTTAATTATGAAAACTAGCTAAAACAAAATGAGAATTCTGGAATAGTGAAACATAAAACATTCTGTGACATTAGTGGTAGGTTGATAGCAGGCTCTAGTGTAATGTCTTACACTGAAAGGCATCCAGGTTCAGACCTTTTCAAGTCTTCATGATCTACTGTAATGATCTACATGGGTTGACATTTTAAACAACGACAGACACACACTACTGCAGAGCTTGACATGTCACGCCAAGGGACTTGCATATCTACACACAGATGTTTGAACACATGGACACATTATGCAACGTGTGCAATATTTAAAGCACCTGCACAATTTTGATACTACTGAAGAACTACACAATGTTTTCATTCTGAGGATCTGCTCAAATCTTCAGGGCAGAGCTATTCAACTTCCTTCTGGCATGTTTCCCAATGTTAATTAGCAGTTTATAATTAAAGAATTCTTTTTGAGAATTAATAAATCAGTCCACATTACCTTAAAATAACAATAACATGAATACATGTACTTTTATTATTGAAGTATTTTTTTATTATTGAAGTACTTTAAATATTTTTGTATTATTGAAGTATTTTCTATTATTAAAGTATTTATGCAATAGGGATGAAACATGTCCTAAATCCGATGAAAGTCTGAGTTATCACAGATTTAGAGTTTTGATTTTTAATGTCACCTTCTTGACAATTACATATTATCTACTGACAACACCAGTATTTGAATAATCTGTACTCTAAAACAACAATATCTGAAAGCTTCCATATGGAGCTGCTCATACGTAAGGGTGTATAAAATAGAAACACACCAAATTTATTTTGTCATTTATTATCTTAATCCCATATCACTGGGTACCAGTGAAGGAAATATAAAGTGAAAATTTTAATGTGTCCCTAAGGATGTTCAAATTTTACACAAAACTTTCTTGATTTTGCATCTTTCCAAATATGCTATTCCATATACAATATATAGATATACCATTCCTCTACAACTGTCTTAATCTCATAAACAGGACCCTTAATAATCACATCATATTTACTTTAGAAATAAGACTGTTCATGCTATCAATGGGAGTATGTGTGTACTTGTTAGTACAACATTAAACAATCATGGATAACATTAATGCAAGTAACACTTAATAACATTTTTCTACCACCGATTGTTACCTTCACCTTGAATAACGAACAGTTTTACTTACAAGCATGCACAGATTACCTCATCCTCTATACAAGCATATCACTACCTTAAAAAGATGTTTATTTCACAGCCTTTCCCAACCCACACCCATTAATTAAAAATAAACTTAAAAAATAAGAAAACTCCCCATACATACAAAAATATAGCTTGGTAACAAAATATCACGCATAACAATATAAGTTACAATTGAAAGTTGATATTTGATCAATATGGTTTGAATTGAAACCTCATCGTCTTACATCAATTCAGGTCAAGAAAGACAAACAGCATCATTCAGCACCTCTCCTCATCCACATCTTGAAAATAACTGTTACATTTAAGCCTAATATGTAGTTATACATGACTAGCTTTGAATTCACTGTAAGTTTCTTATCATAACAGAAATAGAATAAATATTTTCCCTTTTCTATCAAAGTACAATAACCTGTCAATGAAATTTTTTAGAGAGGATATTTTGGTATATATAGTACATGGTTATGATTCACAGCACATGTAAAATGGCTGTTTCTAACTAACATAGAAACTTGGCTTACTGTTTGGTAATGATCTTGATGGCAAGCAATGACAGTAAATTGCCATTGACAACTCTTAGCTGTGACATAGGTGGTGTTGGAGAGTAGTTGAGTGTATATAGCAGTAAAATGGGTGATCGATGATGATCTTGAAATTGTATCACTTTCAACATCATGAATAATTAAGTAGCACCTATATAACAAACTAAGAGTAACTATCCTAATTTGTGAATAATATCAGAGCTCAAGAGCAGGTGTGTATTTGTGTAACACACATACAATAGATCACAATTTGTCCTTGCATACAAGCATTCATGAAGAAAAGTAACAGCCTAAAACTAATTGTTGTCTTTTCAGCTTGTGTACCAGTGTCTTAACAAATCTTGATATGACCCAATGCTACAACCACCTGCCCAACTTCTCCTGTGTGAATAACAACTTACTTATAGTAACTTACTGGACCAGAGATGGTGATATATATATTAATTACCAATGTGAATGTGAGTAAATACTCCACACCTGAATCTTTTATCTACAGCCCTGGGCCCTTATTCATTTGTAGCCTTAAGAATTCTTAACTTTGATCGTACCTAATCTGTAAAGAATGGGCTTAAGAAGTTTGTAGGACTACGAACGTTGAGAGAATAGCTAGCCAGTACTATTATCATCAACAAACATACATTGGTATCTTAAGTAGTTCTGTTTTTTAATTCAATAGGCCCATAAGATACGGGTTAGAATTGCTCTTCAGTAACCTATGCTTACTTCAGCGAGAAACAGGATCAGGTGGTCAGGCTCGCTGACTTGGTTAACACATGTCATTGTATCTCAGTTGCCTAGATCGATGCTCATGCTGTTGATCACTGGATTGTCTGGTCCAGACTCGATTATTTACAGACTGCAGCCATATAGCTGGAATAGTGCTGAGTGTGGCGTAAAACTAAACTCTCTGTAATTCACTATCCTCACATTGGCAAACTACTCTGTCCATATCCTTTCATTACTCACACTTCAATATGACAGGAATCAAATGGGTTTCACAGGGCATTAGCACTAATCATAAACACTCCATTGGCAATAATGGAGTCATCTTGATGCTCAGATACAACTGTGAGTTCAAGACACTTAACTGGTACCATGACCATTAACAGAATGTTACAACTGTTAGAAAAAGAAGCTTGTCAACTGATCATATGTTCTGAATATATAAGCACACTGAATTAACATCCAACAAAACCACTACAGTTTCGATGTAAGCACCAAAAAATAGTTTCCATGGCAGTCTTTTAATAACTTGCTTCAAAGGAGAGCTTGTCATGGCAACTTACTTCCCTTTAACACACTCCATCAACCAATCAGAATCTTACAATGTACAATGGCACAATGTTGCTGAGTGACTGTTCTGTATAATACACACTTCAGAAGTTCTAGTATGATACACAATATATATCCTGCTATATACATGATACACAATACTGAGAATGGTACAGATTCAATCTGGTTCTGATTTGTATATACGAACAACACTGCTGTACCAACAACATATTTTGATACTTTTATACGTCAAACAGCACGTTCTGAAACACTGTCCCTGGAATGAAATGTCCCTTTTTCATTGGACAAACTCTGGTTTTGAAGACAAAATCTAAAATGTGAGTATAGTGTACAGCAATCTCATCATACACATGAAAACAATTTGTTCATAAACCAGTCTCACACACCCAATTGTGTATTTACATTATGCTCAGAAATACACAGTGGAACAAAGTAGATCCTTAACTCTTCTCAGAGAGATCAGCCAATAGAAAAAATAATTTCCAGATTTAACAATGGCCTTGAACACTTCAGAAAGCTAGGATACATGATTAAAGTTTTGTCGATACTTAGATACTATTACTTCATGAAACAAAAGATTGATATGTCGGAGTTCATGCAGTCCATGTTTAGACCAATCATTGTGGTTGTGTCGGAAAGGAGTTCTATAAGCAGCTTTGTGATTGGATAATCAATGCCATCGTGTGCAATATCAATCCTTACTTACCAGAATCAAATCTAATAACAAGATGAAACCATATAATCTGACCATCAGAGTTTCACTGTGACAAATAATGTTCTAGAAGGACAGAAGAACGTATGTCAATTGTGTGAGGCAGACAATATATAGCACTATATCCTGGAATAGCAACAACAACAATCATTCAAGACACTCACATCATGACAAACAAACCATTGTACCGTAATCAACATACTTAGTACCCTGGACTTCACTACATGTAAGAGACCAGAGCTCTTACCGACATTCCATCAAGGTAGGTTCTCTTAGTTAAGAATCCAAGATAAATATTTGAACACAAAGGTCATACAAACTTAACTTTCTTGACATATTTTTTAAGCCTCAGCTGCGCATCAGAACAAGACATATTTGAAAACAGAGACGCTTGGTTGAAATGCTGAAATTCCGTACATGATTAGGCTTGACAAAAATTTGGAAAGATTTCCGTCCGTAACCCCCGTTTTTTTTTGGTCATTCTATGCCTAAGAATAGATGGTTTTTCGATCCTCATATTGTTCAAACTTTATTGTAGATATTTCATTAGTTTCTTTATTGTCAAGATTACTTTACCTTTAATTTATATTTTTACTACCAGACCAATTTACATTTTGACATTTCAAGTGGGGGGTTATGGGCAGAACTCCTACCAAACATTTTAGATATTGTTTGGAAACAACAAATACCTATGCCTTGTATGAACATGTGTTATTTCATGTGGTGACATCTGGACCAATCACATGGGCTGTCGTGGAGAAGAGCTACGTATGAAGCTTTGTGACTGAATTACCGCTGATGTCAGAATGTCCACTGTCAAACATTATTAACCAGAAACAAAATCTATTACGGCATTTAAAGCTTGCACTAGTGCAACCTGAAACTGCAACCTCATATTTATCTAAACTTGCACCCAGACAAGAGTGGCAATCCTTTGTTGCTGCCCTACACGCCAAAGGGCGTAACAGGGATAAGGAAGAAGTAAGTAAGCACCCAGTACATGTTCATATTTTGATTTTCAAAGACCGCAGACTTCAACTGGCTTGGAGCAGTGACTCCGAAGACTACACAGACACTGATTGAATGACTTTTACTGTTTATATCAATTTTATCAATTTTATGAAGTAAGATAAAATAAACTCATGAGAGTCAGAATAAATTTGTTATGATGTTCTAAATCATCTATACCAAAACTAAATTTTCTTTGAGAGTACAAAGTAAGGATAAGATTTGGAGCTCCTGCATGTAATATATAATTTGTTCATTTATATAATTTACCCTATTGCTCAGAGGTTTATAATAGCAATAACTACAAGGATGCTGGTGTATACATACCGTATATACCATAATCATGAAATGGATGCTGATTAAGTTGAATACAACAAATACAAGGGACACTGGTATTCATTTTGTTGTATAACAGAGAAAACAGCCAATCAGGTATACTAACAATAGCTCTAAATGCCCATATATGAAATATAATCAGAAAATAACTTACATGAAAAGTCTAACCAGAAACATCTACAGGGAAATAATGATTAAATGTCCTAACATTCATGGTCACTATATATTGAGAAATGATCGACACACAGTGACTTCACATGAACTTACACAACAAGTCATAATCTGAACAAATCATGTACACACCAGTACTGCCTCATACTCAACTAACAGTGTACTTCATCTTGAACACTCAAAACAGACAAGACACAAACAGACTTTGGTTATTAAACTCATACAAGGACATTGAAATTGAGGTATACACTATCATAAGTGACAAACCTGGCATCTTGCACAAAACAAAAGTCTAACATAGTTTTCAGGCCAATTATATATATTTTTTCAACAGTGGGCTTCATTACTGGGCCAAAACTCATGATTGTCTCCCCTTTCAATACAACACCCATTAGTCCTAAATACCCACTAAGATATGGTTAATTTCCTGTAGGACAGGAGGGCAGTAAGGTCAGTCCTATTTAACCCAAAAAATATTTTTGGAGGGGAGAGAGAGGACTATGGAAACAAAACAAAATCAGCAAAACTAGGGCTTCATTACCTCTTCACTAAGCCCATCACCCTACCTCACCCCAGAGGCCTCATTGTTTCCTTGCAGCTTGAAATAGGCTACTTGGGAAATTGAGGTGGCTCCTTAAATACCTTGGATACCAACAGTCTGGATATGGTTGTTTCCTAGAAATGTACCTATGTACCACTAAAAATGAAAGAGTCTTGATGTATCAGTACTGAAATGTATGAACATTTTCAAGCATAACTTCTTTGGGGACCATCAATGTGACTATTTTAGGTTCCTGAGACTTTTTCTTGAAAATAGAAATTTACAGAGGCCTATTCATCGCACATGATTTAACATATTCAACACAAGGCATTCAAAATGTTCAACACAGAGGGCATTCAACATGTTCAACACAGAGGGCATTCAACATGGTATAAAATGCATAGTTGACTGACTGTGAGTCGGTTGTGGGTGTCATGTGCGTGCTCTCATTGTTTGAGCTGACTTGGGGTCTGAGAAGAGGTTTCGGATCATGATGACTTGGGTGAGCCCAACTGATATCATCACAATGAGTTGGAACCCCGACAAAAAGTTGACCCGGGTGAAGTTGTTCTCCTGGATGTTCCGATCCCGGGCTTCGAAGGTTTTCAGTAAATTTTGTAGCTGTTGTGATTTTTCAAGGTTTGTTTTCACATTGGTCATGATGGACTGAAAATACAAGAAAGATTCATTTGACAAAATGAGAATGCACTTGTTTTATGTCTTCAACAATAGTGAGTGAGATTAATTTTGACGCTGCTTTTAGCAATATTCCAGCAATATCATGGTGGAGGACACCAGAAATGGGCTTCACGCATTGTACCCATGTGGGGAATCGAACCCGGGTCTTTGGCGTGACAAGTGAACGCTTTAACCTCTAAGCTACCCCACCGCACCTCTTCAACAATAAATATATGGGAGGTAGGCAAACGCGTAAAACAAATTTTAGCTTAGATTACACTTAAGCTAACTGGCAGTTGCAGCTTTAAGTAATCAAAAACAAACTTTGTCTGCAAATTCAACTATTAATTTGAGTATCAATAAAGCAACACTGAGACAGTGTCTAAGTTTGATTACTTTGACACTAATCATTTCATAATAAGACCTACACGGAAAATGTGCAACTCTTTACGACAAACCAACAATGACTGGTTCACAATGACAGGGAGAGATCACATTCAAATGTCAGCTAGGAAAGTCAATAAAAGCAGCGACACTTCCTGTAACTATAGCAATGTGCAATCAATCTGTTTTAAAATCAAACATATAAAAAGAATCCATTGAAACACCATACATTTTCAATACAGGGGTTGTATTATATGTACTGTAATGTACAGGTTTCAGTGAACCCTTAATACTTTGTAAGGCATATTGATTGATTGCCTGTACTAGACATGTGTCTTGCAAAAATCTGCCAAGTTACAGGTGTCCCCATGCATTTTTATTTACATACATGCCTTTTCCGAGCCAACCCCATTTATGTCCTTTGCAAGACAATTTCAAAACTTCACAGTCTTTTCCAGTTTCTCCCAATGATCAGCATTACTCCAGCCATGTAACTAAAGGAAGTAAGTGAGTTTAGTTTTACGCCGCTTTTAGCAATATTCAAGCAACATCACAGGTGGGGCCATGGGGGACACCAGAAATGGGCTTCACACATTGTACCCATGTGGGGAATTGAACCCAGGTTTTCAGCTTTAATCACTAGGCTATCCCACCTCCCCTCAAGTAACTTAAGATTGTTAATGACTAAGTCTGGACCAGATAATGGTTGTCACACAGCGCTTGATTTAACCTTTCAGAATGAAATTTTACAAAGAAAGATGTACGGCTGTGTATTGGTAAATAAACTGTATTGCAATATACAGTGGATGCCCTCCAATGCGGCATGCTCTCAATATCGGCACTAGAATTTGGTTCGGGCAGAAGTTAGTTAAATTATGATCATTTACACACCCTCTAATCCAGCTTCAGTCTATTCCACCTATCGGAACAACAAAGGCCGCCCGATTGACTGTTTGTACAGTAATTAACGCTCTCCAAACTGGCATCCGATATCTTTGCTCTCCTGTTGATTGGCTGATTGTCTGAACGTGTATTAACAACACAGTGGATTACCATCGGCATTAAGCTCATTGATGTTGCCTGATAAAAGGAGTATGGATAAAGATTAGGCCTAATTAGGCGAGGTAAATTGGTGAGTGACACGTGTCACTTTTATTATAAATTAATTGTCGTGTGAATGAAAACAGTAAATTTCACAAAATTAACACACTGACGCACGATTGGTTTTTGACTGCCTGCAGTAAAAACATGCCCATTTCTGGCCCTATTTCGAAAGAGAAAGCTATTCAGTTTGCTTCAGAATTAACTGTCAACGAGTTTAAGGCATCAGATGGTTGGCTGGCACGATGGAAGACACGATACGAAATCAAACAGTTCAAAGCGGCACACATGGAAGATCATTCTCAGGATGAAAAGGGAAACGTTCTCTAAACCGGCACGCCCTCTATACCGGCATTTTTTTGCTGGTCCCACCGAATGCCGGTTTAGAGGGCTTCCACTGTATTGCGATTCTGCTAATTGTATTCTGATACATACTGCGATTGTGATTCCGGCAAGAGGGAAAACAGCAAGTGCTCTGACCAATATTCCTCAAGTAACATGCCCATCTACCTACTCTTCACATTGCTTTAAAGGACTGACTGAGTATGGTTTTACGCCGCGTTTAGCAATATTCCAGCAACATCACGGCAGGGGGACACCAGAAATGGGCTTCACACATTGTACCCATGCGGGGATTCGAACCCGGGTCTTCAACGCTTTAACCACTAGGCTACCCCACCGCGCCCCTAACAGCTAACATAGAACACACTGAGACACATGTGCTCAGATATCTCCATGGAGAGAAGCATCAAACTGGGGTAAAAGATCTGATTTTCATGATATGTGGGTTTGAGGTTCAGGGTTCTCAGTGTTATGAAACTGGAACTTGATCTTTGATCCAGGTGAGACAAAATCAACAAATGGATATGAAGCGTTTGAACACATTTTACATCCCTCTTTAAGGAACATGCATGCTAAGTTGAACGTCATCAACACAGCATTTTTTAGAGAAGTCCACCTGAGCTTAAAATCAATACACCTATCTATTGTGGCTGCCATTGTGTAAATAGGCCTACAAGGAGGTCTAAATGACATTATTTTACAGCTGCCACCAGAGTACTGGACAGCATGAACTGTTGATTAAAGGATGTGACAAATATACCCTGTGTACATGTGTTTCTTCAGTGCAAACATATGGTCTGCAATCAGATGCATACATTTCAGGTTTAGGTAACCATGGAAACATCCAGAATGAAAATACAAAGCAACTGTGTGAGCACAACATGTTGCATTTCAAATGAATGACAAATAAATATTTGCAGTTTTGTTCAACATGAATTTGACTTTTATTCAGATAACTGAACAGGGCTCCAAGTTCATATTTTGACTTACATGTTATTAGTTAAGTGAACATTAAAATTTTCTAGCCAAAATGTAATGTTACTTGCCATACAGATTCTCAGTTATTGTTCACATATTGTCAAAGTTCCACTATTAGAGATCACTAATAATAAATATTTTGTAAATAGTCCCTGAGACCCTAGTCGATCGGAAAGTCACTTGTCGCTAAAGTTGGCAATCATTATCAATTAATTCTTACATAAATCGAAGTCGGAACTATTTATGATGAAAACCAGAATAACTGCCTTAATTCAATTGAATTTTTACCTCACTCACCAAAGGCTAAGTGTTTCTATTGTTTTGTTGCATTTATCAAATTTTACTTGCAAATGCGACCAATTCACAAGCAACTTGGAGCCATGCTGAACTTTATCCAAGAGGGTCTTGATGGAGCAGGGGTATTATGTGGGATAACATGTCCATCCTCCATAATTTGGGAGCTTGTTTTTTTTAAGCATAGTTAAATTACTCTCAAATACAGGACCAGCTGCCAAATTGAATGTAAAATGTGAAATCCTCTCAATGCAGATTTTCAGTCCATCTGAACATGTTACTGGGAAAAATAGGGACAATTGGTTCTGATTTCATTTCGGTACTACAATTTGTGTTGTGCAAATACCAAACACAGACTGGTTTAGTTGTGTCAACTGATCTAGTTATGTGTCAATGAAAAAGATTTTACCATGCTTCAGAAACAGTAAAGTTGAAACATAAGCTTTAACAGCTTTTATGGAATTTCATGTTTACCTTTCACAATACAAAATTGATTCGTCTGGCATTTACAAAAGTGTTTTAAGTTTGTTTTACAACTGGACACCGCATCAGGACCCACATCCAACAGCTGGAGCAACAATCTTATCGAACCTTAAAAAGCTCGCTTACAAATTAATCCATACTCTTCAGGTTGCTATAATCATGAATCATTCATTCATTGAATGCATAACAGGATACTGTCAGGATCTACAAGGCAGAGTGAGTGAGTGAGTGAGTGAGTGAGTGAGTGAGTGAGAGAGCACCTATTAGCGATATTCCAACAATATCACGACAAGGGATACCAGAAATGGGCTTCACACTATGTACCCGAGCTAGCAATGATGAGCAAACACTTTAACCACTAGACTTCCCCACTGCCCAGAACATTAAGAATTCATACTTTTTCACCAAAAATAACCTCTGTTTCAGTGCCGTGTGCACTATTCCCTCAGTGTTGAATACAATAACTTCTTAGTCTCTTTAGGACATATTATTTGGGAATGTGACTGTGTGGTGCTTTAGAACATAACAGTGATCATTTATCAATGACAGACTTCGCTTTCATTTAAAAAATAATTGAGTGAGTGATTGAGTTTAGTTTTACGCCGCACTCAGCAATATTCCAGCTATATGGTGGCGGTCTGTAAATAATCGAGTCTGGACCAGACAATCCAGTGATCATCAGCATGAGCATCGATCTGAGCAATTGGGAACCGATGACATGTGTCAACCAAGTCAGCGAGCCTGACCACCCTATCCCGTTAGTCGCCTCTTACGACAAGCATAGTCGTTTTTAGTGGCAAGCATGTGTTGCTGAGGACCTATTCTACCCCGGATCTTCACAGGTCCATTTAATGAATAATGATAAATCATCAAAGCCTCCACACTCATCATGGTTAATGTAGCCTGATATATAACAAAGCCTACATCAGACAAAAGCAGTGACTCATTGCAACACTTCCTTCCATTCAACTAATACAGAACTTGTCAGAGCGCATGATTTCAGATTTATTTCAGCACAAAACACAGAAAATAGTCAAAATGTGGTTGACACATAAAAACCAAATGGGGCAAATCTCAGAGGTCAAGATATATTTCTTTTATTCCTGATACATGCTGCATAAGTTAAAGAAATCTTCTTAACACGTGAAAATGTTTTGTAAGTTTTCCAGCATTGCATCATGTGACATACTAACTACAGTGATTAATCCTGGCATTATCTAAAGTCTCAAGTTGGGCAGCAAAAATAGATAGTTTGGGCAGCAAAAGGTTTGTTTGTCGCTTAATGACGCCCTCAGCAATACTACAGCTATGGCAGCGGTCTCTAAATAATCGAGTCTGGACCAGACAATTCAGTGATCAACAGCATGTGCATCGATCTACGCAGTTGGGATACACTGACATGTCAG